CACTCATATTAGAAAAGTTAAAGAAGAATACGACATTTGTTTATGGGCAATAGTGTGCTGGAAACTTGACAAATATTTCGTTTATTTCTCACGACAAAGTCAGGAATATAGATAAAAATGGCCACCATTTTACAGACTGTGAAACTATGTCTCACAGACATTAAGTAACTTGCCCAATTTCACAAACTAGAATACAGTAACACTGGGATTTGAAGACACTCCTAAGTGCCATCCAGTGAAGTTGCTGCTTTTTCTTCTTTGCAGATAAGGTCATTGATATAGAATCTCTAGGTCTTAGCTTTCTACCACTGCCTTAAAAAATTCCCTCAAACTTAGGGCCTTAAAACAAAAATACATTACCTCACAGTTCTGTATTTCAGAAAGCCTAGTGGGCTAGACTCATTTCTCTGCTCAGAGTCTCACAAGGCCAATATCAACGTGTTGGCAGGTCTGCGTTCATTTCCGCAGGCTCTAGTAAACAATTCATTTCTAGGATTCTTCAAGTTGTTGGCAGAATTCATTTACATGTGGTTGTCGGACTGAGGTCTCTATTGCCTTGCTGGCTGTTGGCCAGTGGTTGTTCTCAGCTTCTAGAGCCTGCCCTCATTCTCTGGTATACCGCCCGCTTCAAAGACAGCAAAGTCACTCTCAGGTTGAGAATCTCTCTGACTCTTCTCCTTTTGCCTCGTTTCTCTGATGCATCTCCTGACTCTAGCCAAGGAAAGATTCTCCACTTTTAAGAGCACATGTGATTATATTGAGCCCATCTGGATAATCCAGGATAGTCTACGTTTCTCAAATTCTGTAACCTCAATCACATCTGCAAAATTCCTTTTATCATGTAACCTAACATATTCACAGATTGGAGGGAGAGGGGCATGGATATCTTCAGGAGTCCATTATTCTGCTTACCACATTCCATGCATATAATGTTGCAGTTGAAACGTTTCAAAATGCAAAAGGAGGAAATTTTATACACGTGGCTCCTAAAACACTCATTATATTTACTTGCAAACATAAAAATAGTGTATACATATATATACCATTACACTATACACATTCAATTACCTAGGGATACAAATGATAAATATACCTGAAAAAAGGAAAGTTAGAGTTGATAGAGTAGGTAGAAAACAAGAATTCTAAAACAGGTTATTTACTGTTTTTTTTTAATAATGAAAGGAGTACATAAAAACAAGAAAAATTGGAGCTTCAGTGGCTGATATTTTTTAGACAAACAAAGAAATCTGTTACATTCGTGAGAACAAGTTCAATCATGTAAGAAGAAATCCTGGAATACTATTCATATGTAACAAATATCATAATGAGGTCTGACACATTTAGGAGGTTCTTAAAAAGTAAAATTTCCATATTGTCTTTGTTCATAATTGCCAGAAGTTGGAAGCAACCAAGATGTCTTTTAGTAGATGAATGGATAAACAAACTGTGGTATAAGCAGACAATGGAATATTATTCAGCACTAAGAGGAAATGAGCTACGAAGCCATGAAAAGACATGGAGGGAACTTAGATGCATATCGCCAAGTGAAAGAAGCTCATCTGAAAAGGCTACATACTGTATGATTCCCACTATATGACGTTCTGGAAAAGGTAAAACTATGGATACAGTAAAAAGATCAGTGGTTGTCAGGGTTTAGGGGCAAGGGAAGGTGAATAAGCAGAGCACTGAGGATTTTTAGGGCAGTAAAACTATTCTGGTTGAATAGTGAAAACTATTCTGTATGACACTACAGTGGTGGACACTGTCATTAAAACATTTGTCAAAATCCATAGAATGTACAACAAGAGTGAACCTTAGTGTAAACTATGGACTTTGAGCAATAACGATGAGTCATACTTGTAGGTTCATTGGTTTTAGCAAGTGCTACGCTGTGGTGCCAGATGTCAGTAGTGGGGGAGGTTTTGTCTGGGTGGCGGCAGGAGGTATATGGAAATTCTCTGCCTTCTGCTCAATTTTGCTATGAACCTAAAACTGCTGTAAAATATAAAGTCTATTTAAAAAACGAATTGCTCAGGAGGACTTGATGGAGAAATTTCAGGAGCTGACAGTCTGAATGAGAGTCCCACCTGACATTTAAATGTATAAGCATGAAGGATAATTTTACTTAGGATTGCCAATATTGGTTTAGAATCTTCTCTAAAAAGTCTACACGTCATATTATTGCAGGTTAAATTGTATTTTAATTACATACAGTATTTTTTCTATTTGCACACAATAATGTACTTTTAACAATACTCTTTTTGTTTGTTATTTATGTTGGCATAAATCTTTAATATAAATGGAGGAAGGGAAAACTGCTCGTTTTTCTGAGGACTGTATATGTTTATGTCATTGAAATGAAGGACAACACTTAAATCAAGAAAGTCAAAAACAGTCAGAATCACAAGCAGTTCCAAAACTAAAGAAATAAAAGTAAAAATTTATCCCCTTGGTTTAGGATGGGGACAAATAAAAAGATAGCTTTTCAGTATCCAATGATAGCCATTATTTATACAAAGATGTTTAGACTGTTATCAGAGAGAAATAAATACAGCTAAAATAACACTCAATTTTAATGCTTCCATAGGGTAGATAGGGGTGGAGGTTCCCTTTCGTTCAAAACATAAAAGAGTTAGTAAATTCTTTGGAGGCAGAGAACAAAATCTCAGCTGTCATTTGCCTGCTGGTGACTTAAATGCATTGCCTGAGTAATTTCTTATCACCGTCTGATTGACAGACAACAGCTTGGTGCATTTTGAAGGAAAAGTGAGGGGTGCCAAGGGTCTGAGAAATAAGGGATGGCTTTGATGCTATTAGTTTTTATTAACTCTTAAGCAATTGCATGGGCAAAAACCTTACAAATATTTTACTAATGACTTTGAAAGGTCTTTCAGTTATATCTAATAGTTTTAAAAGTCACTACAAAAAAAGAAACAGAGGAAATCTCATTTTGACCAGACAGCACTTGGTCTACATTAGTTTTTTTTCTGTCTGCTGCCAATTAAAACGTAGAACTATAAATTTAAGCCTAACTTAAAACAATGCACAAAGCTATAAATGAACCTTCTGAATGTTAAAGAGATTAACTAGTCTGATAACTCTTTGGCCTGTATTTTTTAGTTTAGCCCTCTCCAGCCTAACTAGAGAATGAAAAATCACAGTAATAAAAAAAGCCAACCCTTGAGAGAGCATTCTACCTCAACCAACTGGGACTCCTTTACCCTTTCCACATTCTTGGACTATCTAAAATCAGAAGTATCCTCTGCTTCCAGGAAGACACTGTGTAGCAGTATCACGAAGTATCCGTTTTTTTTATTCAGGCACTTCTCTGGCTAAACTGTCCCCCTCTTAACACTTTAGGGCCCTGTCATGCCTCCCTAAATCTTACTCATTCTTTCTTCAAAGTAGCTAAAGGGCCTACTTAGTTCTTACTTACTCCAGTCCACGGTATGCTCTTTTCTTTTCCCACTCGCTTCATATCTTTTGAAACAAATCATTTGGCGCTCAGCATTTACTTCTTGAAGCACGACCTGTACCTTCCTTAGCGTCTCTCTCCCGTTCCTATAGGCTGAGCTTAAGGAAAAGGCTTGGTGGGAGGAGCATGCTGTGCCACTGTCCGTGGTCCTGAAATATCGTTGTCGGCGAAGAAAATTTTTCTTAAATCCACATCTGGTGACTCCTGTCCACTTTCTCCTACGAATTTTTAAATTGGTAAAGTGGTGATGACAAGAAAAAGTAAGGCAAGAAGATATTGAGAAAGAAAGATAGAGGAATGGACAGAGGTAGAGCCCTCAAGTCATTGTCTGGAGAGAATAAGACGCTTGGGTTTGACGTTATTTTCAAACAATTGCAGATGCCAGCTTGGGAATGAGAGGGGAATGAACATCGCTGACATTGTCAGTGAAGAGGAGTGTGAAAAATACATGCGCCGAGTGATATAAAGCCGTACAAGTGTCGGCATGAACAAACACATTGATGCCGGTGGCCGAGGAGACCGAGGAGACCAGACAGGTAGCATGCAGCATCACTTGTGTCATACCAAACTGCCATAGGTTTTCTTTGTCTTTATTTTTCTCTCTTGATCAAAAAAAAAAAAAAAGTCATTTGGCACTGAAGCAGAACAAAGGTAACTGTAACATGTTTCACATTTGATGTAGCTGTGCACTTTCTTCGGTTCTAGCGCATCTGTAACAGTTACGTTTCAGCCCTAGGGAGTGGTGACGGGTAGAGTATATACTCCCCGCAATCTCTATGTAAGCTCTCCAACTAAGGTATAACCTCCCCGAGGACAAACACCGGATTTTAAACATTTTCGAATATTTCAAAATGCCTAAGTAGAGTGCCTGGTACAAATTAGGGGTTCAGTTATATTCTTTGAATCAATAAAAGAATCACAATGTCTTCCACAGAGGCAGCAGTCAACAAAGGCTTGTTAAATGAGCAAATGCTCCATTTGTTTTAATACTTCTATCCTTTTCTAGGTCCTTTTAAAGTCTGATTCTCCTCCCTTTGGGACTCTAGGTCTCAACAAACGTCCCTCCCGAGTCAGTCTACCTCCCCGCACAGGGGCTCTGCTCTTCTCCTGCCATGTGTCCGCGCCCTCTCGGGCTCACCCTTTCTTCCTACTCGGCAACCCCCGTCACCTTCTCCCCACCAAGACCTCTCCCGCCCCGGGTCTCTGTCCCGGGTCCTCGCGGCTCCCAGAGGCTGAGCTCTGGTCCCCGCCCGCAAAGTAACGCGGTTGTCATGGACACGGCACCTGCGCCCTTCGGTGGTGCCCCTTCGCCGCCGTCCCCTCCCCCCACCTGCGGCGCAGAGCCTGTCTCGCTTCCCCAGCTCCGCCCTCGCCCCGCCCGCTCCGCGCTCCCCAGGCCGCGCGCGCCCGCGTCCCCCCTACCCCGTGCCTCCCCCAGCCCCGCGGAGCCACGGAGGCCGCGGGGGCGCGCGAGCGAGCAAGCGGCCGCGCCTGCGCACTGACCGCCTCCCCTAGCGGCGATCCGGGCCGCTGCCGCTCGAGCTTGGGCAGGACGCGGGGCGGGCGGGGGGAGGGGGGAGCGGCTTCGCTTCCAGCCCCGAGTGAGGCGGAGACCCAGGCTGGCGGGCGGAGCAGGAGGCACCGCACCTCGGCCAGAGGCGGCTGCAGCAGCTGCTGCCCTCGTCCCCGCCGCCGCCTCTCCAGTTCCTTCTGTGATTACCGCTCCAGCTGCTGGGAACCGGCGAGAAAGAGGAGGAGGCGAGAAACTCCCACCGACCCACAGAGGTGAGTCCCAGACAGAGCATCCTCCATCCTTGCCTGCCTCCTTCCCTGCCTCCCTCCCATCCTCTCTATCCTCCCCTCCCTCCCGGCTCCCCAACCCTCCCGCCCTCATCCTTCCCAACATCCCTCTCTCCTCTCCCCTCCTTTCTCTCTTCTAGCCTTTCTTTCATCCCTTTCTTCCTCTCTCCCAGCCCCACTTCCTTCCCACCCTTTCTTTCTTCCTTGTCTTCCTTTCAGCCACTCGTCCTAGAGCGCAGCTCTGCATCCCTTTCCTCTTGTCTCCATCTCTTTATTTTCCCCCTTCTTCACCCCTTCCCCGGTGGGAGATCCTCTGCCTGCTACAACTGTCCGGATTCAGGGGCTTCCAGAAAATTGGGTACATATATTGAAAGACACACTTTTGCACAGCTGTTGCCCTGCAGGTCCCTAAATTATTTGGATTAAGGGTCAAGTTGAATAGAGTACTGGGAACTGGAAGGCGAAGAGGGTCGAGGAACAATCTATGGATTTGTGCTGTATTAGGGTGGGGGTGGGGAGAGTTGTCACTTAGATATGTTGCCAACACCCCTTACACCCCTCTTTAGCAGTTTCTTTTTTCCTCCTGAGAATTGCATATTCCCAGTGCGTGTCTCACTAATTTAAAATCCAGCTTTCCCTGCTTTGATTGTCTCTCTGAGAAGCCACAAGGAAAGAAGAGAAGAGAGGAAGAGGGGAGGGGAGAGAAAGGGTGGTGGCAGTGGCCGCTGGTATCCTTTTCCCCTAGGCCTCTTTGGGTTGATATTTTCAAACGACCCGCCTAATATTTGGCTTGGAATTGAACCCATGTGCCCTTAGTCCTGTCACTATCTACTTCAAAGGCAGAAACTCTCTAAACTTTAATGCGTGTGCACCACAGCGTTATTTATGGAATGTTTTGGTCAATATACAAAACACTAAGGTAGACTGATTTGGCAAAATAGGGAGCAAAAGGGTGGAAGAGATGCACTTTTGTTCATTATGGGTTAACTTCTAAAGGAGGACAATGGAGAGACAGTTTTTGGAGTAATGAGGTTATATTCCACAGGCTTATAAATATACCATTTTGATAGTGTTAGCTGTCTTACAGCCTTTCACAGGTACCCTTACCCCTTCTCATCCACCTTACGGGGATTGTGAAGATGTTTGAAGAGAAACATGCTGTGTGGTTCTGTTTGTGGTTTATACCAATGGAAAAATTGAATTAGCTCCGGGACCATTATTAGTAATTTAAAATTTCAGATTTTGCACCACTTATTTTCACCAAATGATATATTTTACTTTGCAGTCTTTAACTTACACTCTAAGCCCTTTTATTATATATATTAACAGTAATTTGGCAGTCTTCCTTTTTGCAAGCATTGCTGCTGAAAAGTTTATTCATACATGGCGGGACAGCCATGCTTCAGAATGTTTAGTGTATTCATCATTTCAGAAAGGTCCAACAAACAGTATAAGTATAAATCAGAAATGGAGTATTTAGAAGCCTGTATTTTACCTTATCTGTATTCTCCTTTTAAAAAACCAAAAACCTTAATATCTGTAGAATAGCTGTGTTTTATGTTTAATGAATGTGTGGGGAGGAACTGAAATTAATGGCAGATTCAATGAAGCTGCCAATAAGAAACTATACTTTGGAGCAAATTATTGATTTTTTTCTTTTCATTTAAATTATGATATGCCAGGAGTGCAATATGTGCTTTTGCATTTTATGAGGATGTAAAGTAGAAGTTTGGATGAAGAGAATTACCTTCCAGAGTGATTGAGTGCTGATTTGATGAAGAGCTGATACAGTTAATCATCTGAATCAGCTTTTGGGAAGTGTGTGATATTAGAAATGATGGACCCACCCCTTGCCCCAACTCCCTTTGGTAGGAATGCAATTCCATTAATGGCTTGGCTGACTCTTAAGCCATGTGGCAGAAGCTTGGTTGAATTATCAGTGTTACCAACATCCTGATGCGCAATTGCAATCGACCCTGTCTGTAGTTGAGCGGTTACATTAATAGTGAACACAGTTGTACTAGGGGTGTTTGTTGTTGTTGTTGTTCCTTTTCCTGGAATGCCTGATGCTAGTGAAAGCCTTTGGTAGTAATTATATATGACTATAAGTAAGTTTTATCCTAATTTACTTTCAAATGACTTTTTCCCTTCCAACATCTCTACTGCTCTTTCTTTGTGGGGCTACATAGTTGTAAGTATGGGGAAGAAGCAGCCCCCTCAGTCAGCCCTGCTCTTTATTTATTGCAGTTTTGCTGCACAGAGTAATGTAGGTGTATGCCTCAGTTTTTAATACTGCACTTACTATGGAAAGAAAGGTACCTTTTATTTGTCTCTTTTGTAAATATCCATCCACTTAGGGAAAACAAAATATACAAGGTGATTAAAGAATAGAAAATAAAATAACATTTGTTTACAGCAAGATTTTGAGAGATGAGTAAAATTAACAAGATAGGAAATAAAAGAGGAATTAGTGTCTTTAAAAAAGCAGCCTGCTACTCTGACCATAATCCAGTTTACAGATAAAGGCCAACTTCCTCTGAAGAATTTGATTTCTTGATGCCTCTGTCTTTAGTTGCCTGGACCTTTAAGAATATGGTACAGATAAAGACCCAACAGAACATGTCATGGACCCAAGGAAATATCTTGGATACGTTTTCTGTGCCTCCCTTCCTCAGAACTCTTAAAACCTGCCCAACACCGTGTTAAGTGGTATGAGGTATTGGAAAGAAGTAAAAGACACTCTCTGACCTTAGCTGACAGTGTAGTTGAGGAGAACAGGCATTTGCGTGAGGTCATATTTCACCATGGCAAAGAACAAGATCTTTGCAGAACTTTAGGCTTGAGTGCATACTCTACTTAAGTAGTAGAGTGTTGTGCCCTTGCTTGCTATCGAAGTCTCTTTCCTCGTTTACAAAATGGGAATTATGGTAGCCTCTGATTGCTTTAAGGGTTAAATGTGTGAAGCACATTACTTGGTACAAACAAAGCATGTTTTGGGTACTGTTATTATAATTAGGAGAAATGGTTTAAAAACAATCCAAGATAATATATGATTATGTACTGGAAAGAAATGAAGAGCAAGTTAAGTGTTAGAGGAATTCCGAAGAGGACAGAGATTGATGTGGCCAGGGAAAGATGATCTTCAGGAGTAGCACTGGAGCTGGGGCAGAGACTTCTCGGAAGCATTTCATGCAGGGTGGGTACCGCAGCTGGAACAAAAGCAGAAAGAGAAGAGGAAGCACAGTGTGTTTGGAAAGACTAGTGGCATATTTGGTATACTGGTGAGTGTATGAAAAAGAGTTAAACATATAAAATCAAGAGTAATTACATTATCACTTGGGATAAGACACCTTGTTGTAGTGTGGGATCCCTTTCCTCACAGAGTGTTCAGCTACCCAGGGAAGCTTGTTTGCCTTCTTTCTCACCCAGAGCCCCATCCCAAGACACAGAATCCAAGGTCTCCGTCACAGTGAGGACCCAGAGTATTCTTTTTATTCCTTTTCTTTAAACTTTGATGTAGAGAGAAAACTTGACCTTTCTAAACAACAAAAATTTAGTATTATGGTTATCACAACTCTCTCTTGTTTTGCCTCAAGCCATGAATATTCAGGAACCATATCTTGGAGAATAATAAGCAGGATTATTTTATTTTGACATATATGAAGCCAGTAATTGTTAGGGTAATTGTATTTCCAGCAACTTTATTTTTATTTCATTGTTGACTTTTCCTAATTACTACGGTTCGTTTATTTTTTTTTTTTGGGGTGTTCAAGATTGTTAATTATTCCAAATGGATTATGATCTTTTAAGTGTTTTACTGGGAGACTAAGGTATGATGATGACACAGAATCTGTCTGGGAACGTGCACTGAGCAAGTTAAATATCTGCTCAATGTGGGGTGACAACAGCTCACTGGCTATGTCTGTTGGTACACCTTTATTTTTGGTTGGTATTCATTAACTGTTTTGAAATATATATCCATTAAATGTTTATTCGCCAGCATGAGTGATATGAATTATTTTACCAAAAAAAGGATTTGTAGAAAATTTTACCTGCAAGTTACAAGTGTCAGTATTTATAGGGCTCATATTTAACCCATTTTAATAGATAGACACACTTTCATGGCTTTCTCAAAAATAGTGAAATGCTCTTCTTATACTTATTATTTTGTAGTTATAATAATACACAAAATCGGTCTCATGAATATTATATAGTTATAAAGAGGAATGTATTTCTAAAAGTTAGCAGTTTAATAGGCTTTAGACTATAGCATTTTTATTTTCTATTTTGAGATTTTTCTCAATATTCTGATGTTTTAAAGATTCAGCGGATCTAAATAAAACATTTTTAAATGGCTCACTTTTAGTCAGTTTCATATTAAAACACCAGTCATTTTGGACAAACTTTACTTTTAGACATTTGTATTTTCTTTTTAAGTGAATTTTTACTTTGGAGATGAATTCAAACTCAACCACAAATATGCATTCTACAACTCTTTGACATTATTACTTGTAACACATTATAAAAAACACAAAGTGATAGTCTGACTTTATAAAGCTTAATTTTATAGGGCTTTTATTCCATTTTATGTAAAGACTGTATCTGTTTATACAACTCTTAGCTATTATTTTTCAGATGTGAAGACAATGTGCATTAACAGGAGTGAAAAAAGCAGTTGCATTCCCCATAAGTTAAGGTGGTGACCAAATGGAGAGACAAATGAATTAATTTTCTCCCATCTCTTGAGCTGAAAAATTTATAGCTGTCTGTTCCATTAGGGGTTTTCTATATTTTTGCTGTCATGCTGATACAATCCATGTTTTAGTTGTTTTAAACCATACACACACACACACACGTATGTATATTTCAGTTAACAGTCTTTAAAACTGGATTGTGGATGAAAAAAATACATATGTAAAATCAGATATTGGTTTTTCAGTATCTTGCTATTTTGTTTGCTCGGCTTTTTAGGGGAAGCCAAGCAA